CAAGGGCCACGTGAGGAAGGACTCAGCTCCCAGGGCTGGGAGACACGTGGGTGGGGGCGGGAATGCAAGCATGACCGCTGGCCCGGAAACTTCCTCAGCCCAGTCCAGCCCCGGGAAGAGCTTTACCAAACCAGCCACTGGGAGGTCTTTTCCAGGAAGTTCCGGATGTGTCCCAAGGGTGTGTCCAGCTGTGGCTGGGGCCTCCACGCTGAGGCCTGGCCTTAGCCATTCAAGGGTGGGGCTGGGAACAGAAGCAGGGCCTGGAAGGGTGCACAGCCCTCCCACCTTGCCCAATGCCCTGCTCTCTGATCACACAGACCTACAAACCAGTTCAATCCCCAGCCTGGACCACCCCAACATCCTCCTTTCCTTCTCGCTCCAGGGTTGGAACCTGAGCTCCACTGAATACTGGCTGTGTGACCTTGGGCAGGTCTGGCTCCTCTCTGGGCTCATTTGTGAAATGGGGAGATTGTTGCTGAAATTGTGGTGAAGGGTCTAGAGCAGTGGTCGCCAATCTTTAGGACCTCACGGACCACCAGTGGTCCACGGACCACCGGTTGCGGACCGCTGGTCTAGAGGAAACCACAGATGGCGAAGCCCTGCACAGCTATAACCAGGGGAGGCAGGCGACAGGAGTCAGACCCTCCCCGAGGGAGTGCAGGGTGAACCGGAAGGCCGGCTTTGAGCTGGAGAAAGTGGGTCCTTGTGCCTTGCCTCATTTTGCTCATCTCCTCACTGTACAGAGGAGGAAGCTGGGGCTGCACCTGTGGGAGTAAGAGCCTCGACGTTTGAAAGTTAAGAGAGTAGATCCTAAGACTTTCCATCTCAAGGAAAAAAACATGTTTCCTTTTTTTTCTGTGTCTATGTGAGATGATGGATATCTGCTATAGGCAGTTGGACAGATATGAGCAGAGCAAGGACATGTACAGAAGGTCACCAGGGCAGAAAGCTAAGGGCAAATGTGAGACGGGACCTTGACCCTGAGGTGACCTTTCCTCCCCTAGCACATCGCTGGTCATGCGATTGGGACCCCCTGACCGTTCCTCCCTGGAGATAATGTCTAGGCTGCAGCTGTATTTCAGCTCCGGGCCCAGAGAAGCAACCAAACCAGCCAGGGCTGACCTAGGACCAGCTGCATCGAATAACGACCCCCTGCCCTGGTGCCGCCAATCAACCTGCGGGCAGGAGAACCTCCTCCCCAAAATGTAAATCGACTCCCCAATAACACTAACGTTTATAACACAGCTGGTCTCTACCAGGTTGCAAGCCTACTCGTACCGAGGGAATACCACCTCTAGACGCCATCGCCACCCCCTTCCATGCCCAGGCCCCACTGTCCCTCCGACAGACAGCAAGGATCTCTTGGCTCTGAAATAAAATGCCCCCCCCCCACTTTCAGCAGGAAGTAGCTACAAAAGACCCGAATGCCCCTTTTCTCGGAGAGATTTCAGAGCCAAGATCCTTGAGGGGGGATGCTGTAGGCAGTTAGACAGACATGAGCAGAGCAAGGACGATGGGCCAGGTACAGAGGTCACGAGGGCAGAAAGCAAAGGACAAATGTAGGGGGGACCTCGCCCCTGGGGTGCCCTTTCCTCCCCTTACATATCACTGACCTTGCAATCTCGGTTGGGACCCCCCCTGACCGTTCCTCCCTGGAGATAACAGTTGGTTTTCAGCTCCGGTCTCAGATAAACAACAAAAGCGGCCAGGGCTGACCTCAGGCCCAGCTGCCCTGGTGCCGACCAATCAATCAGTGGAGACCACCGCCCTGAATGGGCCCACCTGGCCAGCTGCTGAATATTCTATTGAGGCCTCCCCCTGGGACCGCCCCTAAAATCTCCGCCCTTAAAACCCTTAGGGTGGAGGAGCCAGTGTGTTCTCCCTCCAGGGAGCACACCCTTCCCTCTCCCTCCTTCCTCTACCCCCTCTCTCCCCCTCCCCAGGCACCTTACCATTCGCTTCCTCACTCCCAAGCTCCAAGGGTCCTTCCTTTACCTCTGGAACTTGTTTGCTAAGCCCATTTCTTCCAGGAATTACTTCTACCTTGTAATTTACCCAATAGATGTTCTCTTACTGTTTGGGTCGACTCTAGACTTTGAATTGTCTCTTAGTCAGAACCCAAGTACCGAGGTTGCTGAACCCAGGTTTGGTCTGACCCCACTGGTCAGACACCTTCCTGCCGCCTACAACATAACCATGTTGTACCCTAAACTTACAGTGTGTATGTTGATTATATCTCGGTAAAACTGGGGGAGGGGTGGGGGGAGGAGTAGGGGGAATAAAGTCGCAAAGGTATGAACAAGGAGGTCACTGTTCGATTCCCAGTCAGGGCACATGCCAGGGTTGCGGGCTCAATCCCCAGCAGGGGGCGTGCAGGAGGCAGCCGATCAAGGATTCCCTCTCATCATTGATGTTTCTCTTTCTCCCTCTCCCTTTCTCTCTGAAATCAATAAAAATATATTTTAAACAATGAAAGAAAAAAAGAGAGTCCAGCCCTCCAAGCAGGCAGGCGGCAGGAGAGGCAGGTTCTTAATAAAATGAAAATGGGAGAGCACGCCGACCCAAGGCGGCTTGGCCAGCGCGGCAGTGCTGACAACACTGGGACTTCTCCGGGCGGCTGCTGAAAGGGTCTTGGAGCTGAGAGCCTGGGCAGAGATGAAAGGGAAAGAAGAAGGGGAAAGTAAAACGCATAAGCAACAGGTGAAGAGCATGCCCCTGAGCTCCGGTTGCTGCCTGTGCCTTTCCGCTGGCCTGGCGCCCCCGCTGGTGCTGTTCCTTCTTCAGCCAGGACTTCCCATCAAGGCATCGGCAGGCTTTTTAAAAATATATATTTTTTCATTGCCTGGGTGGGGGGAATGGGAGTGGGCTGGATGCATATATGTGTAACCCATGGACAGGGACAATGGAGTGGTGATGGCCTGGGAATGGGGAAAGGACAGGAGAGGGCTGGAAGAGATTAAGGGTTGGGTGGCGGGGGGCTGGGGGGAAGACCTATGTAATACTTTCAACAATAAAGATAAAAAATAAAATTAAAGAGAGAGCCTCGCTATGCTGATCAACTGAACGCTGTCTCTGTGTCATTCCTTCTTCGCCGACTCGGTCCACACCTTTGGGAACCCCTGGACCTGCTGGGGCTGGACCCCAACACATGACCCTGACTGGAATCGAACCCGGGACCCTTCAGTCCACAGGCCGACGCTCTATCCACTGAGCCAAACCAGTCAGGGCCAGAATTTTTTATAAATAAAGTCATACAGCAGGAAAAAAAAAATTAAATATATAAATAATATTTTGATTGATTTCAGAGAGGAAGGGAGAGGGAGAGAAAAACATCAATGATGAGAGAGAATCACTGATTGGCTGCCTCCTGCACACCCCACACTGGGGATGCAGCCCGTAATCTGGGCATGTGCCCTGACTGGGAATCAAACCGTGACCTCCTGGTTCGTAGGTCCATGCTCGACCACTGAGCCACGCCGGCTGGGCACGGCATTGGCAGGCTTTGAGGGACTCCCCCTCCAGTCTCGGGCAAGCACAGGAGGCAGCACAACTCCCTTGGCATGAAGGTGCACCCTGAGGGCCCAAGGTCACCTTGGCATCATTTCCCGGGAAGGGGAGACGGAATTTTGGACTCAAAGTTTCCAGGTAAACTTCTTGGATCTTCGACCTGCCCACTCGCTTTCCCATGATGAGGCTGGTGGCCTCACTTGGCACCAGGTGTGCCCTGACCCTGACCCTATTAGGGTGTCGCTGCACAGGGTGTGGGTGTTTGGCACTCGGCCAGAGGACTTTCTCCTCACACTCAGCAGGGGGTCAAGGACAATGTGGAGGCTGGCAAAGATCAGGGCTGAGCCTCCAGGTGAGCCACTACCAGGCTGGGGGCAGCGTCCGCATCCAACTCCCTTCTGGGTCTAATGGCAAAGAAGTGATCTCAGAAACCTGGGCCAGCCTGCCCTCTAGTGGTTCTCGGCCGTAACTGCACTTTTCCTGCCAGCTTTTCACAATGCGTTGCCGCTTTTGAGGAAGGCTCCTCTGAGATCCACAGGTGACCAGGAGGGGGTGCTGTTCTCCTATCATTTCAATCATCTCTTCCTCTCACATGATACTGGACCCTAAAAGGGGGATGCTACTAGCACGTAAGCTACCTCTTCATACTAGGGACTTTGCATACCTTGCTTCCCTGACCCCTCCAAAAGTCCCGGGGGTCAGGGACTATTACTAACTTCTGTACAGAAATAGCCCCCGGCTTTGGGGTCACACCATAGTCCATTCTATGCCCGTCTGACTTCCAAAGCCATGTTTCTAATGTACCACCTGCCTGTGGGAACCCTCTAAGCCAGAAGTTTCCAGGCTCTAACAAGAACCAGGCAAGCAGCAAACGGGAGGGAGGGTCATTGGAGAGTGGGTGGGACTGCAGAAAACGGAGGGATATGTGCCACAGCTAAAGGGCACAGACCTGGCAGGAGTGCTCAGTGGTTAGAGCACCGCGCTGCGCACCAGAAGGTCATGGGTTCAATTCCCAGTCAAGGGCACATACCTGAGTTGCAGGTTAGACCTCCACCACCACTTCACTATCACCCCACCCCCACCCCTGTCGGGGCATGTGCGGGAGGCAACCGATTTTCCTCTCTCGCTCTCTCCTTTGGTGAGAATGCTGGCCTAGCCCCTAAGACAAGTTGAAAGTCTGCATTTTGATATAAAAGTTCCCGACTCTAAATATTGGCAATGAATTCAGGAAAGAGTTTAAACAGAATGCAAGTCAAACAAAGAAGGTTGCTGACACGTGGAGCTTCTTTCACACCCTCGCGGGCCAGGTGAGGTCTGGCGAGAGGAGGCGACTTGCCCACGATTGTACGACCACATGCAGACAGAGCACAGGCTTGACCCCTGACTCCCGGGCCAGTGCTCGTCCCTGTGGTCTACTCTGCTCTCCGGGCCCCGGGGCAGGGGCTGAGCCACTGCTGACTTCGGGGAGGCGCTGGGACACATCCGACTCAGACTGGAGGCTGGGAAGCCATCACATTTATTGGTCACACGTGGCTTAGAGGGCAGCAGGGCCATCCTGGTGCCCTCTTGGGAGTCACAAGAACACTGTGCAGCATGTGCAGCCCCTGGGAGCTCACCAGGTCCCGCTGAGGTAGTGGCTGGACCCCACGGTCTTGCCTCATTATCTCAGACCTGGCTTTGTCCCTCACACAGGACACACTGGGCTCCATCCATCCTCAGGTCAAGCTGGCTCCGCCTGGACCTGGGCCCACAGTCCGTGTAGGTCAGCATTTAAGGGGACGGGTCACCAGTTTACTGATGGGGGAACTGAGGCTCATCCTGAAGACCCGTGGTTGAGCCCCTGGCTTGGTTCACGGGGCCGGTCAGTGCTCAGACACTCCCCTCGCCCCAGTCCCGAGTGGAAGACGGGCCGTGGCTTAGCTGCTCTGGAAGTGCAATCTATAAATACATACTTGGTTTGTAAAAAGTAATAAATTAGATCTGGGACCAGCCTGCGGGCATCGGGCCAGCCACGTGTCCTATGACATGGACATTTGTCATGTGTTTTCTACGAACCACCAATCATGTGTCCTATCATGTGTGGGGCTAGGACCCCTGACACTGACCCACAGGCCATCCTGCAGGTTCCATGCAATGTCACGTGGAACTCTGCCACGTGTGACCTTCTGTGTCATGCATCACATCACGACACCCTCCTTAGGCCGCATGTCCCTCCCGGTCATGCATGTCACATGTGATGCCAGGCGGTCCGTTGGCCACACGAGGCTCCTGGTTCTCACAAAGTCCTCCCTGAAGACTGTAGCAGGACACGCGTGTCCCTCCCTCCCGGGGCAGGGGACGGGGCGCCCGCTGAGGCTCTTCCTGAGCCTCCATCCAGGCGGGTGCAAGTTGGCATCACTGGGCTGGATCCAAAGGGTATGAGGTGGCCATCAAGTCCCCCGAGGGGCCTGCCGCTCATTGGGGAAGAAAGCGAAGTCCAGCCGGGGCTCCTGGCTCTGCAGACGCTGGGCCGCGTCTGGGGGGATGTGGTTATTCCAGAGGCTGCGGGACACAGAGACAGGCACTCAGCACCCGTCCTCTCGTCTCTGCCCTCCATCCTACCCGCAGCCGCAGACGGGAGACCGAGGCCGCAAGGGGGAGAGCTGTGTCCAGAGACGCCTGGCAGAGGCAGGTGTTAGACCCGCAGGGCCACCCAGGGAGAAGGTGCTCGCCACCCCCACCCCGACTTCCACTCCGTCTTCCTGCCAGAGAGCTGGTGATCCTGGCTCATGTGACACCCGCCAAACAAGGAAAAAGCTCCCCTTTCTGTTGTTGTTAATCCTCACCCGAGGGCATCTTTCCATTGACTTTTAGAGAAGGGAAGAGAGGGGGAGAGACAGAGAGAGAAACATCTACGTGAGGGAGACACATCGGCTGGTTGCCTCCCGCACGTGCCCTGACCAGGGCCAGGGATCAATCTTGCAACCGAGGTGCGTGCCCTGGACCAGAATCGAACCCGGGACCCTTCAGTCCTCAGGCTCTGTCCACGGAGCCCAACTGGCTAGGGTTCAAGCTCCCTTCCTAAAGACACTTTACCTGCACCGTCTGAAATGGTCACGACCTATTGGTTTTTGTAGGACAAAAGGCTTCACTATTGTCTGCTAGGCGTCTAGCGTGCCCGCGGGGCGCATGGTGCCTGAGAGGCGAGGCCCCTGCGCAGGGCACAGCCTACACAACCGAACGCGGTGCCTCTGGTTAAAGCCACCACAGTGAGTGCTGCCCGTGAGCCAGAAGCTGTGCTCAGTGCTTTGTCTCACCAATTGTCTCACCATCGGGTCCCCCAGCAACTCTGCGGTGAAAGCGATCATAGCCCCATTGTACAGATGGGGAGGGGGAGGCTGGGAGAGGTTGAATTACTGATGCAGTCGCACAGCTGGGGGTGGCAGAGATGGAACGCGACAAGGTTACTTGCTGCAGCTTCTTGGTGGAGTGGCCCAAGTCTCCCTGACAATTCCCAGCCCGGGTCCCCTTACACTGTAGGGGTCGGTGAGGCCTCCCACCCACCGTCCTGGCCCCAGCAAGTCCGTTACCGGATGACTTGGATGCCAGAGCCCTGCGCCAGCCCTTCAGCCAGGAGCCAGGCTCCGTACGCTGTGATCCGATTCTTCTCCAGACTTCCCGAGGCACAGCAGAGGAAGGGGAGAGACAGACGGTCAAGGGTCAAAGGTCAATGGTCAACGATGAGGGGTCAAGAGTCAAAGGTCAGGGGTCCAGGGTCAATGGCTAAGGATCTAGGGCAGTGATGGTGAACCTATGACATGCGAACTCATTTTTTTGGTTGATTTTTCTTTGTTAAATGGCATTTAAATATATAAAATAATTATCAAAAATATAAGTCTTTGTTTTACTATGGTTGCAAATATCAAAAAATTTCTATATGTGACACGGCACCAGAGGTAAGTTAGGGTTTTTCAAAATGCTGACACGCCGAGCTCAAAAGGTTCGCCATCACTGTTCTAGGGTCAAGGGACTAGGGTTAAGGTTATGGTTGTTAGGGCTGTTGAGGGTTATGGTCAAAGGACAGGAGTCAAAGGTCATGGGTCACAGGTCAAATGTCAGGGTCACCAGTCAAAGTTCAGGGTCAAGGTCAAATAGCAATGGTTAGGGGTCAAAGGTCAGTGGTCAGGGGTCAAGGATCTAGCATCAAGGGACTAGGTCAGGGGTGGGCAAACTTTTTGACTCGCGGGCCACAATGGGTTCTTAAACTGGACCGGAGGGCCGGAACAAAAGCATGGATGGAGTGTTTGTGTGAACTAATATAAATTCAAAGTAAACATCATTACATAAAAGGGTACAGTCTTTTTTTTTTTTTAGTTTTATTCATTTCAAATGGGCCGGATCCGGCCCGTGGGCCGTAGTTTGCCCATGGCTGGACTAGGGTCTAAGGTTAGGGTTAGGGTTGTTAGGGCTGTCAAGTGTTAGGGTCAGGGGCCAAAGTCAGGGGTCAAAGGCCAAGGGTCAAAGGCTAAAGGTCAGGTGGTCGATGGTCAGGGGTCAAAGGTGAGGGTGAGGGTAAGGTTTAAGGGCTAAGGGTTAAGGGTTAAGGGATTAGGGCTTAGGGTCTAGGGGTTAGGGTTAGGCTAGGGCTAGGCAAGGAGGGCTTCCTGGAGGCAGAGGCCTGACCCATGGCCTCTGGGCTTACCCCAGGACGCAGGTCCCCTCTGCCCCCCCCGCCCCCCTGGCTTCCCAGGATGGGCCCCTCTTACTCCACACTCTTCAGCCGCTGCATCCGAGGCAGGACCTGGGCCAGTTCGGCAGCCGCCTCGTCCCCAAGCAGGTTCCAGGACAACCTGCAGGACAGGGGCTCAGGTCGGCATCAGGAGAGCAGGGGGGGGGAGGGCTGGGCCAACAGGCTCCAGAGTCCCTGATGGGTGCTGTGTGCCCTCCCTGAGACTTCTCAGGGCACAGGTGGCTCCTCCCCCAAACCCATTCCCAGGCTGGTCATCCTTTAGAACCAGGCAGCTCAGGACCCGGCTGTCCCCAGAGTCCAGGACACTTGGTTTGTAATGGTCCAAACTCCCACCATGGGTGTGCTCCATCGTGACTTTTGTCACATCCACGCACCTCTTGTGTTATTACTTGTTGCCTATTTTTCTACACACACACACACACACATTTATAATTGATTTCAGAGAGGAAGGGAGAGGGAGAGGGAGATAGAAACATCAATGGTGAGAGAGAATCATTGATCAGCTGCCTCCTGCATGCCCCCTACTGGGGATTGA